TAAAAAAAGCAGCAAAGGATCCATTAAACATCGTCTGCCACTGTCCTGCTGATGTCAGCAAGCGAACTCACAGCGTTCCAGACACAAAATATAGCAGAGATTTTAGAGAAAAAGCTTTGACTTGAAAACAGAAGATCGTATGTCATCTGTGAAGGTATTCATTCAGTAAACCCCACCAGGATTTTCCGTGAATTCTATGTAAACATAAATTATCCACCCATATAGGAAAGAATATATGATTTAAGGGAATAAACAGACACATAAATAAAATATATGCTTTTCTAATAGCTACAGCACCACAAAATCATCTATTTGGATCTCTGCACCCCATCCTGATCTTTAAAAGTTTGATTACATTTTGATTAGTCCCAAACCAGTGTGTACGGCAGCCCCGCACTGTCACTGTTTTCGAATTATACACGTCAGCAGAAAAAAAAGGACAGAGCCGACAGCCAGCGTTTCATCAAGCTGACTTGCTCATTCAGAAACCAACCCGGCAATCAAGAACTGCTGGGGAGCGTAATCTTACAATCAAGCACTGCTGGGGAGCACAATCTTACAATCAAGCACTGCTGGGGAGCGTAATCTTACAATCAAGCATTGCTGGGGAGCGTAATCTTACAATCAAGCACTGCTGGGGAGCATAATCTTATAGTACCTTTTGTACAGACTAAACTTATGCTGCCAGTATGCATGAAATCTAGTCTTTCCCAGTGCCCATCACAGAGTTACCCGCACATGCCATGCAGACTGGGACACGCTCCACTTCAAACCTCCATTTATAACGTCTTTTATAAGGGAAACTTGCACTAACACATGTACGCTGGATTTAGTCTGAGGATTTACAGTCCACATTAATGACTATAATTAATTAAGCAGGCAGTGTTGTGGTTAAACACTCACAACCTGCAGGGTCAAGCCCAAGCGGGGGCCCTGATGTAGGGACTTGACCTGATTCACCCCACCATGTCCAGCTGTGTATATGGATCAAAACCTAATTCATCACTGGAAGATGCCAGCTGCTGCTGCGGGTGCCGATGCTGCCATCGCCGTTAGATACCGTATCTTGCCGCCGCGGCTGCTCAGCTGCCAGACGAAAAGGCCGCCGGCTTCGTCCACGCAGGCCAGCTGGTCGGAGTCGAGGTGGGAGAAGGCCAGGTCGGCGACCACGCCCGCGAAGCCCTTCAGCAGCGCTCGCTCCGCCGCGTTCACACTCAGCACGCGGATCATGGCCGAGCTGTTGTGACCTGGGCGGGCAAACCGGGGCACGGAGACGCCGCTTCGACAAAGGGCACACGGCTAAACACTGCTTCCTGTAATAATTACTGTTCACTTACTAAACTGTCAGTTTCACTTACTAATCACAGTATATTAATTCATACCTAAAGGATTTCTTAACACAACTTACCCTTTATCTTTATCTATTAGACAGAGGTGGACAGTTCAGGTCTGTGAAGTGCAAATCCAGACCAAGGTTTTGTTTCAACCAACCAGTTGTACTCTGTGACTGTGACTCTTTAAACTCAACAGCTTTGTTGAAACAAAACCTTTTTACTTTTAGGACCTGAACTTTCCACCTCTGTCTGTAATGGATTACTTTTGTGTGTAACCCCAACACTGAACATATGATCAGACTAACATTAACTAATTAATTTTAAAAACACAGACACATCATTTTCAAATATCAATTAAAAGAGATCTGAATATACCAAACAGCACTGTAACAACTGTTTTTAATATTAAGTATTTAATTCTTTTTCACATTACTTACATTACACTAAAACTCTATTCTACTTATATAATACTTGTATTCCTTAAATTTTGTGTTACTGTACTTCATGCATTATATTGTATTGCTTATTTTTCGTATTTTCAGCTCCGTTTATTGTTTTAATCTTGTACAGTCAGAGCTTTGCCTTTGCCTTCTGGATAAATAAAGTATCATCAACCATCAAGGTTTGCTGCTGAAAACCAGCTTTGAGAGAAAGACCGACAGCGCCCTCTGTTTGGTTATAAACTGTTACTGCAACAACTTGATGCAGCATGAGAAATCAGACGCCGGAATCCCTGATTTCTTTTTTTAGGACGTCGTTCCGATTTGTCTCGGAACACACAACTGCAGTCTTCAAGGGCTTTTTTTTAATAGCTCAAGTACAGCCTCATTAGAATCTGCACTAGATGAGCAGACTAACTATCTGATAAAGCAGTTACAGAAAAAGCAGTTCAGCACTGAGCCCCCAAAGAGCAGAGCTATGCAACCTCCAGAGTGACACCCTGCACTGGAATGACCATTTCTGATGCAGTGGAGCCACCAGGATTGTGACAGTGATTCATTGTGACTCTCACAATTCCACATATCAGTTCCTTTAATATGCAATTTCCTGCATCTCTATATGATTAAATAACAAAATCAATTTTAAAATGCTGATTAATTTTTTTTAAATGCTCACCTCTGATGACATATGCCAAGTACGAGTTGGACACCGCTATCAGATTGCCGTAATAGTACTTATGTTCCCAGTCATAGTTTGCCATAGGCTGGATTTTAACCTGTTACACAAAATGGAAAAAGTTACACACAGGTTGTGGATTTCTGGGCATAACATCTGCTCTACAGAATTAGTCCTCTGATTAGGCTTACATGAAGGCAAGCCTTTTTGATTTTAAAATGTCAACCATTAATAAATCATTTGGCAATAATACCAGGTCTGAGATGGGATTATTATGCACTGTCATTAGCCATCAAAATTAACTCACTTATCATTGGCTAATTGATTCCCATTGGGTTGAACCAATCAGTGGCTGACAGCACGTCATAATCCCACCCACCATTGAGTATAATATCCTGTCTCTCAATCCCACTTCCAGGCGCTGTATCCTATCGCTTTTCACCTTGTTGCTGCTCCGGGCTTCGCTCTTGATGTTGGAGTCATGGCTGGCAACTATCTCCACATCGTTGGATGAGATGGCGATGCCGATGGAGCGGTCATCACCAGAGAGATGTCTGGGAAACACAGAGATGCCACGTCTGTCACACTGTGCACATATCAGTAAAACGCGATGACAGGACAGATCACACATTATTATGAATCTCATGGGATTATTACTTCTTGCAGTAATAATGTATGAATGCATCTCATGAACCTGAAGCATCCAGTTATATTTGTGCTTGCTGCATCTTCCAAATCAAAGCAATTATATTTTATGTGCCCTAATAATATGCAATAAGCATAAAGTGACTAAAACATGCTCCCTACAACTTTATAGAAACTAATTTATAATTATTTTTGATTGTTTGATTTTAATATGTAATATTGTTATAAATCAATCGTATTTGCCTGGACAGTATGTATGTGTGACTCTACTTAAATATAACAGCCAAAGTGGCCTACCATAAAACAGAACTGAAAAGTTTAAACGCACAAAACAAGTGTTTTGGTTTTATTTTAATATTAAAAATACAGACTTCCATTTCAGCATGTTGAACAGCGTGCAAACCCTTGTCCTCACTTAAGCACATCATAAACGCAAAGATAACACAGGAAATGAGGAGGATGCACACATGATCTGTCTGTCCTGGGCGCTCATGGTCTTGGCGGGCGGGCAGGTGACTCCTTCGTCGGGGATTAGGATGCCTGATCCAAACAGGCCATTGAGGTCGCCGTTAAAAGACGTCTTCTGGCTTCCAGCTGGAGCTGTTCCTAAGTGGAGAATTTTCAAAAATGTTGATGCATGCATTACAAAAACATATTCTGTATTTTTTGTATCACCAACACATCGTGTCAGGTTACTTTCCTTCACTCGTATGTAGTTTGGACTACATAGTTATAAGGAAAATATCAACACAATATCAACAGCGCTATAAAATATATACCATGCTGTAATTTAAAATGCACGGTCTAACCGAAAGATTACATCTACAAATCTATTACTCTAAAGACACAAAGCGATATTTCCAAACCAATGCAGTGGTATGAGCAGGCCGTTTTTGCAATGTTACCTGCCTATTTCGGTATAACTGCATGTCGCTCATCGGATTCGCGCCGAGCCAGTGAGCTGCGCCATTCGCACCAGTTTAAACGTTATTATTAAAGTTTATTCTCCGGTTAAAATGCCACCGAATCCCCCCAGCTAGTCAGGGACCCCGTTAAGTTCGGCCAGCGCCGCAGATGCACGGTGTGCGGAGTGGGAGGCAAATAGCGTCGGCGGGGCTGCAACACGTTTGATCCGCCCGTTTGCGCCGAGTTATAGGCGATCGGTCAGGTTATCTGTAACGCCCAGGTCTCCCTCACGTCTAACCACATCACCCAGCGGCCTAAACACGCCCCGATCCTCTGTGTCGCCGACGACTCACCGGCACCGCTACCGGTTCGGTCCAGCTTCAAAATATCCCGGAGATGCTGGGTGGCGTCCTCTACGTCTATATGTGCGTTTGAAGCCATGGGGGGGAAGGCGTGGGGACCGCGTCTGCACGAGGCTGCCGATGCGCTCATCTACGGCCGCCCCAAGCTGCCGGAGCCGGTGCTGCGTCCCAGGGGCCGTGAGCCGCGGCCGGATCCGCTCCAGTGGGAAACCGAACCCCGCTCTTCAGTTCCGAGGGAGCCGAACTGTCTGAGCAAACATGCTGTAAAATCAGCCTCCGCAAAGTGTCTCATTGCGTTACCACGCCTGCGGTCTGTGTTTTATACACCTCCCCAGCGAGAGGAATCCCCATCCTCTCATTTGGGAGGCACAATTAACAGACCTGAATCCATCTTTCTTTAACTTGTTTATTTTTTTTTTTTGCAATGAGTCACCAACAGAAGTCCGAGCTTTTTAAAACGGGGGTATGAACTGAAACCAGCTGGCGTTGACCACGAAGTCCCCCTCCGCCCCCCTAACAGAGTCCTTTGGACAGTAAGCTATTGCAGTGCAGTACAAGTTAAAAGAAAAAAAAAAGACACTTAAACAATCCTTCAGTACTTAAACAGGGTTAACTATTCCTTAGCCCCCAATGTAAAAATAAAAGGCAATTCTGATTTTTCAGGCAATACGTGCTGTAACTGAGTGAAACTTCGCCAGTTCTATTTGGGGGAAAAAAACATTAGAAAGTAATATCAAAGGGGACAGTCATATACAAAAACCTCCATGTCAGTGGGTTTTTAACTGGGGATGAAAAAATACCAGACCAGACCCATTACCACTAAAGTGTGCTTTTATAGATAACTAAGGAACAGTGTGGGATGGGGTTAATATTTGTTTGCCTGAGGACCCCCCAGCCAAACACCCCTGCTCGGCGTGCACATGCGTCTTGTTTACTTGCTAATGCTGCTGCTTTTGACCGAGTCTGCAAGTGACATTCTACACAGGTATCACCAGAATGACACAGGCACCGGGCAGGAGGATCAGCAGCTCCTGCAGGGCACCCGAAGCACGAGGTGCTTCTCACGTTGCTGTAGAGGTTACGTCAGTACTGGGGGAAGGCAAGACCTTCAGCGATCAGAAAAACCTGGAAATCGCTAGTGAGTGTAGGTCAGTTACCACTGTAAGAGATACGTGCATTCAACTGAAGTCCATTTTGTCCTTCAAGCACCACACTAGACCTTCACTTTGACAGCTTTGCAAGCTAGACATTTAGACAGCATGTGCTCTACTGTGAGAAGATACGGTCAGATTATTTTTGAGGGGGAAAGTGACAATGAAAAGACAAGAAAAAGGCAAAGAAAGGCAGACACACAAAAGATGGAAAAATAAGAAACTGTAATTAAGAAAAAGTCAAGATTTATTGTGTATTGTGGTTGTAGTAATCACCCTGGGACAGATCGGGGGTGACGATGGGTTGGTCAGTGATGTTTCTTTGGATTGCAGGAGCAACCTGTCAGTACATGTAAAATTAAATGCCAGTAAACTAAAAGGGAGAGAAAAACTGAGCCCGAGTAACAATGAACTGAAAGTATAAAACAGTGTAAAAGTAAGTTGCTCTTCTGGCATCAATAATGCAGCTATTCTAGGTTCCCAACAGCATGCAGAATAGTGCAGGGGCTATGACAGACTGTAGCCATTCAGCGTAGAACAGGAGTTTGTGTCCCGGAGATTGCTCGTGCCTGCGTGTTGGTTCTGTCCGCTGACTGGTCGGGGTTTGTTTTTTGTATGAGCGACATCTGGGATCCAGTGTAGAGGAGGTTAACTTCTCAGAGGCAGGGATGGAGGAACGGCGTGGGCGTGGGGAGCAGAGGGAGGCGCACGTCGGGAGTGAGCTGGGCCAGGAGGGTGACCTTCACCTCCACCGCTGTCCCACGTTCCCCGCTTCCCACCTGCGCATTTAGCCGAAATTGTGAATGGCCAGCCGGAACATGTCATTGGTGCACACCCAGGCGTCGTTGATGTTCTTCAGGAGAAAGATCTGATGGAATCCCATGATGGGGTCCTCATCAGCCTGGAAGAGACGTGGGAGGGAACACGGTGTTAGGATGTGATCTTTGGTGGTACAGTGGGTTCCACTTCAAAAGCTTGAATAGCTACGCAACATAAAACTGAAGACTAACAAGGAACTAGATTCCCTCATTATTCAAGACAGTTTCAGCAACATTAATGTATGTCATCAAACTGGTACAGAACAAACAAAAATTCAAACTGATAATGTCAAGCTGCTGCTTCTCTGTAGCCAAAGCTCTAAACAACCATACGCTGCCACCAAGAGAAACATGTTATACTGCATCTGCAGGTCCCACTCAACACGATACCCACCATGCATGTGCATAAATCAGGATCTAGGCTCTGTCAGCTTTGCCTTTCAAGCATAACAAGCTGGTTAATCATGGGTCAGCAGGTAGATCATTACAGCATGACAGACTTCTAACCTGTCGGTTGACACTCAAGTTCCAGGATTGGCCTTGCTGTAGAACTTATGAACGATGTACTTCACCTGAACTGCTCCAGTGAAATATCTAAGCAGCCAAATATGGAAAACCACCCCCCATCCCAATTCTCCGAGAGCTGTCCGTGACCTAGTATTTATAGATCCACGTGAGATCTCGAACTCTGGAGAGATCCAAGTCTCAAACCGGCATGCTGTCAGAGGCGGACAAGCACTGAAAAAGCATGCAGATCTGAAGCGGACACCAGGCGGTATGTGCCAGGAGTGAAAACGGAAAGGAGGGGGCTCCGACTGGGCATGACCCTCAGGCTCCCCAGTCTACAGGGAGGAATTTCACAGCCACTTGAAACACAGCAGATGGCACTCGCATCATTACCAAGATGAGCCTGACTGTTAATAGGAACGCTAACCAAGTCATGCTTGGGTGCTACAGAGGCAAATGCATCTAGCATAGAAGATGGCATTCATGAGTCAAAGTCACATTACAAACCAGGCAAGCTTAGGCCACCCACTTCTAATGCAGGTCCTTACTAACAGACAGCGGGAAAGCAGGGGAATCAGGCCAGATGTCAGAGGTCAAAGGTTGTGCAGGGCTAGCCTGAAGACCTCGTTGGTGCACACCCAGGAACTGCTATAGCTTCTCAGCAGAAAGGTCTGGTGGAAGCCCAGAATCTGATCATCATCCGCCTGAGCACACGGCAAGAGAAACTGCAGTAAGAAGCCTTCAGAAGGCAGGACAAGCCGGCCAGCGATGCTCACGCAGGTTCATGGTACTTATGTCACCTCTAGGGATCCAGGTCTGGGGTCTCCCCTCACAAGACTCTATCAAGAACAGCTCCATTTCGTTATATAGCTACATCTCTCTCACATCAAAAGACAAAAACTCTTGACACCCCCCCCCCCCCAAAAAAAAAAAAAAAAACACACTACACAGGACTGGAGAAGCTCAAGGACAAGCAGAATCTCAGAGTAGGCCTTCAATCCGAGCCTTTCAGGTCAGTTCTCAGCTGGGCGCGTAACAAACTCCACCATGAACTTCGACAGGCATTACACTGAAAAAACCCTGTATCTGATGACTGCAGCTACTCTGCCATCTCACATACTGAGCCGAGACACCACTAGGGGGCTCCCAGCTCCCAAGCAACTGAGTGTGCACCCCCCCGCCCCCCCTGCTAAAATGACAATCACAGGGAAACGACCGTTTCCAAACCTATTTGAAAATGGGTCGGAAACTTCAGTCTTCCCATTAACTTCAGGAATACCACTAAGAGTAAAAGGGGAAAGTAACACACAAAAATAACACTTCAATGGTTGTAACAAGCAGAGGTTTCAAGGGAGGCTAATAAATCATTACATTTTTATTGCAGCTAAAAGCAAGCAAACTTTGTTTCTTGTGTACATTACAGATGCCAAACACGATGTGATCCTGACTAATGTTTTAATGAATTAGTAAAATATTATCTAGAATTTGAGTACAAAAATGTATGAAGACTAAATGTTGAGCTCACTTTTATAATAGAGATGTAATTCTTACCCATGTGATGATATGTGTATGTGTGCGTGCACCTGATGTGTACATTACACTGTAAACATACACCAAGAATTTAATGTAAACAAAATCCAAATCATATCAAAAATGAGCCTGGACAAATGTATGGCACAATTAAGCGTAAAATTATCCCTATTCATCAAACAAAGAAACTAAGTAAAACTGCTTTAAGTGGGACCCCTTGTAAATAACGGCCCTACAGTAGCACTGCTTTAAGTGGGACCCCTTGTAAATAACGGCCCTACAGTAGCACTGCTTTAAGTGGGACCCCTTGTAAATAACGGCCCTACAGTAACACTGCTTGCAGCTCCGCTCCTCACACTGAACCAGCCCCGTTACTCCCACAGACGGGCAGAGACACACAGGTCCTTACTTTTAGTTGTCCTACTACCATACTAAGTATACAGCTGTCGGGAGTTGGCTGGTGGTCTTGTGCCGTTATGTTGTGAGCGATTTTCGTGAAGGGAAGGCTCTGCAGAAAATTGGGGGGAAAGGAAGGGAATGGACCAAAACGTTAAATTTGCCAATGAATATATGCATTCCTTAGATTAATTTTCTTTGAAGTATTCTTCCATGTTCTGATATATGACACTCGTTTATTGTAATTACATCTACAGCATGTGTCCTCCCATGGACATACAGGGAGACTGAGACATGACCCGTCATGCTACACTTAAGGCTTCAGTTTCTGGGACATCGACTTTCGCATTGAATACAGTACTGAATTAAGTGTAATCACACCTCTGTGTAATGTTCTCTTAGAGCAATGTTTCTCAACTCAGTCCTCAGCGAACCCCAGCCAGTCCACGTTTTTGCTCCCTCCCAGCTCCCAGCCAATCAGGAACACCGAATAGCTGGTACAGGTGCGCTGGGAGGGAGCAAAAACGTGGACTGGCTGGGGTTCGCTGAGGACTGGGTTGAGAAACACTGTCTTAGAGGGTAAATACCGTTGACATTTGCAGGAGTATGACTTTATGACGAGACCTTACATGCATCAGGTTGAAATTCAGTACAGCCTTGTCAGGATTTACATCAGCTTAAATGTAAAAGCGATTAGAATCCTCACAGAAAGTTTCTCAACAATTGCTGCTTTTCCCTGGAATTGCTGTCCTTCCCACGTAAGGCATGATGCATCGATCTGGAAGACAAAAGAGTGACGCGTGAGCACAGCCAATCCGGGAATGGACATCTTAAAGGGGGCGGGTCTGCAGTACGGCACCCACACACACATACGACAGCAAGATAAGCATGTTCAGCTTCAGCAGAATAGGTGATTATGGCTTTCAGGATTCCAGCACAGTGGGGATCAAGTATTCTTTGGCTTGTTGGCCCAAGGGGATGTGTCACTTTTGTCTTTGAATCACAAGCACCTACTTGCCCCCACCACCCAACCCCTGCAGGGATCGGGAGGCGAAGGCAATGGAAGTAAAGCCAGGCTGAATGGGATTCGCATGGCATTCTGATACATCCACAGAAGCCCACACTTCCTAATTTCTGCAGGGATACGCTGTTTCATTCAGCTGACCCACAGTCCAGCCTGAAACGCATAACGCTGACAGAGGCAAGACATCACACCACAAGATGAGGGCCTGATGCAAGCACCTCTCTGGGCCCAGGGACGGGGGGCAAAGCCTGCTGGGGACTCACATATATTGCTCCAAGTTGGGTCCTGTCTGTATCAAACAACTGATAGTAGTGCTGCACAAAGCTGGATCCTATCTGCTCCCAGATTGGCTTGTCTCCCATCCTGATTCACCCGACAGACACTGCGGAGAGAGAGACAATAAACCTGCAAGTCAGACATTTCACAAGTAGGAGAAACAATTAAATTCACCAAGCAGAATGAACCAGAGAGAAAATCCAGCATCAGAATGTAAATAAAACTAAGCTGGCAGTATAGAGTTGAGTCAGAAGAATCTCTCACCCTACTTCAACATCTCACCATCTCACAACACCCAGAACCTGAACAAACACCATTCCAGATGTTCAGACATTTTATTCAGGACAGTAACTTTATAATATTCGAAAGACCACACAACTCAGGTAGTAGGATGTAGGGCGTGTCTTAGGTATCAGATACATGCCTATAAACGATATGCCATATTATCAATGAAGCCCGGAGTGGAAAAGCAAAGCTGCGGCCTAGAGGACCGGGAACCTTCTGGGTCAATCCAACATTAGAAAAGCACCCAATCCAACAGATCATGTATTTAATGAGGTATGAAGACATGCACACACATTTAGCATTCCCATGGATAAGGTCATCCCACCTGGACTTTAACTGGCAGCAAAGACAACCAATCATTGAAGGTAACCAATGCCAGAGATCATCCTTAAAAGGTGACAAACGTTTGCAAAGATAAGCTCATTGGGCACAAACTGCAGCTCTGGAGATTTTCAGTACAGAAGTACCCAGCACAGTAACAAGTCCTACAGCAAATAAGGCCACTGAGATTAGGAGTCAAAGCAAAAGAGGCCATTCTAACACATACCATAAAGACTACACTTGTCTTTCCCCAGGATGATCTCACTCTCTCTCTCCACACCAAGATGAACCATCAAAAGTACACAGAAGATAATAAAGCCTCCTACAGCACTGGAGAACTTTTAAGAGAGAGTGACATTTTACCAAGAAAGCCTCTGTGCATTAGTCCAGTTAATCAGTGGGGACTATTACCTATTATGTACTAATATCAACAGCAGTGATGGTCACAGCTGTGCAGGGCTTCATGCTTTTCATGGAGATCCACAGTACAGCAAGAAACACTTAGCAGTGTATGTGAAGTGTTTTCACAACAAAGCGTTCCCACGTTTCGTAACTAATTACAATTAAAGCTCTTTATTGATATAATGCACACCATCGATTCTCATTTCTGAGCTTTGGCTGCCCAAGTTCAGGATGGGGCACGTTCTTAAATTCAGCAATATTTCGGCCAAAAACTGCAGCACATTTTTCTGAACTGTTTTACAAAATGCAGCCAACGCAGTTCATAATACCTACCGAATCCCAGATGAAGTCAAGAAGCTGGCGGTTTACAGCACATCTGTCGCTATGTGCTGCATCGAGTCGCAGTTGCGCAGGATAACGACCAGAAATAAGCGGCTCGCCGCAACACATGCGACTTTATTCCCTGCGATCACAACTGGCCCTGGGATGAGCTCAGTCTCAGTCGATGTGAGTTAAATGACACGCAGTGTGGAGGAGGAGAGACTGCAGAGATGCCTGATGAAAAACCTTAAACCGTCACACAATGGCCAAGATAACTGTCAGAGCACACATCTGCATCATCTGCGACATCTGCAACATTTGCCATTGCACAGCCTACCTGTGAAGTAAATCACCACCGAAAACAACGAGACAGAGAGCCGCGTTTCTTTGTGTATAATAACTACGCTTCTTCCGTGAAATGAGGGGAGAATGGCATGTCCGCTAGGCCCTTAAAAGAGGCCCTTAACATCGAAAAATGCTTCAGGGGCACCATATAAATGACTGACCATGCGCTCTGAACTCAAGCTTCATTCTAACCTGCACATATGTGCATGTTTCATAGGAGAGAGAGATGGGAAAGGAGAAAATCAAAGAAATCCAATGTACTTGAACAAGCAGCAAACAAAATTTCAAAGCATCTTTAAACCTCAAATAATTTGTGCTTGACACCCCCACCAAAGATTTTCTTTACGTCAGTGTTTCTTAAACCAGGCCTTGGGGACCCCCAGACGGTCACCTACAACCAGCAATACCACATGTTCTGTGATTTAAACTTTATACTGCAGGGCTGTTCAAATCACGGTCCTCAAGGTCCAAGCCCTGCTGAATTCCCAGCCTTCTTTTACCTGTGAGCCAGGTGTGAAGCCCCTGTGGCCAATCAGAATCAGTTATTATTAAGCCAAGTACCTTGGAGAACTGAAAACAAGGCCTGGATTTGGAATTGAGGGGTAGATGTGAAGAGCTCTGTTATAGTGTACTTATTACCTAAATAAGGATCTATAGGCTCAGCAGGTAAAACACAAAAGGGTTCAGGCCTGAGGACTAAGATGAGAGCAGAAGCTTATGATCACAAGGGAGCATAAAGTTATTCAAAAGCATATCGGACACTCGGGGAATGAGATGGGCTGTGAAATGAAGACCTACGAGGACAACCCACTCAGCAGCTTGCAGACAGCAAAAAATGATGCACTTGATAATTACCTATTCCACATAATCCTGAAACAGACAATTACCACGAAGAACAAGATAATCTAGCAGAAAGTTACTGCAACCAAGTCGAGATGGTTCAATCACCTACGGGTCATTCGACTGCGCAGGCGGACGCTCTCGCAGCCGCAGCTTTCCTAAGGAGCTGGGATTGCTTCCCAATCCCATCTGACAATGAACATGAAGCTGTGCATAATTTCTATGGCAACTGCCCAACCAGATGCACAATTTATGCTAAATCACCACCACACTGTCATCTTGCCTTCTGAATGTAGGCCCATCATTAGCTCTTAGCTAAATTATTTCTGTAGTAGGGCAGCAGGTAGACCAGCAGTTAATCATGTGAGCCAAAGGTTGCAGCTTGCGTTCCCATAAGGGGATCTGCTGTTGTACCACTGAGAAAGGTGCTTAACCTAAGCAGCTAAGTATGACTAAATCACCAAGCTAAAATACTGGTTTTAAAACGCTGAAAAACTGACAGAAGGAATGTGTGGCATCGCCCTCAACTGAACATTTCAGTTGCATTGTTTCAAAGCAGTTTAACGGCAGTTGTTTTCAACGTGGTATAAATTAAGATCTAAGCTATAAATAACGAATATACAAGCAAACCTATGCATTACATCCATGTCCCATGTGCGTCAGGATAAAGTTAAAGTCTTGCTGTAACAACTGGTCAGCTTCACCAAGGTTAAAGACAGAGAAGATCAAACTAGTAACCTAGACTACCATACCTGTCAAAACAATCCACATTGTAATGCATCAACCAACTGGAAACCCGATCATAACAAGCATGTGATTTCGAGCTAGTGGGTGCTTATTAACTGCTCGTTTTAATTTAATCGAAGAATTCCAACTGACGCAGTCCCGTCCTGATGTATTTAAAGTTTGCATTTGTGGGGACAACCTGGCGGTGAACTACTTCAGACACCCATAAACTATAGATAATTGCAATTTCAATTAGGTAGACATTACGTAGCCCAATAGGACCGTTAAAACTGAAGCCCGAAGCACCGCCGATCTGCCCGTCCGGGGCAGCCTTACCGCAAGATTACAGCCAACGGCTGCAGACTCTGACTCGCCCTGCCCCGGGATCTGCGCGTCTCTCCGCTCTTTTGTCGCCGTGACACATGCCGCGGACGGCGGCGCCGATTTAACCTCACGTCGCGCAGCAGTTTTCGCGGCTCATTTGAAGTAAAAGGGCAAGAAAAGTGCGCTTCAGACGGCGACCGGTGAGAGAAGACATGCGACCCCATGGCCGACACGTGCTTTCTCATTCCCTACTAAAAATACAGCTCACGCCCCAGGTCGCCCCCAGCTGAGCTGCCTCCCAGACTGTGTGCGGCGGTGTACAGCGCAGACAGGGGCCCAAAGTAACGTTAAAGTCCCCCCTTCTACAACGCAGGCGTGTCTAAAACACTTCTGCACACTGCCTGCCAAAAAAAATCTGTCATTTTCCTCAAGCGCGGGGACGAGGTGGTCACTATGTCAATGCTCACATTTCTGACAAAGGCATTTTTAATGAATGAACTATAAATCCCTACACGCTGCAACTTACCGGAGGCCCAAAACAGCTAGCTACTGCTGTTTCCCCAGTTATGGCGATCGGCGAGCGCGGCTGAGTCAATCCGCGTCTGTTGGACTGCGCATGCTCACATTAACGGACACGCGTTGTTGGATTCTGGGAAGTGGAGTTCATTTTTGTCGGTGAGCAACTACAGGAGGCCTAATGTATCCTAATTCCAGACCAGCTTTTTTCTCTGGTAACGCGGCACGTTGTACGTGCTCCGTCTAATTCCATTTGAGAGTCTGCAGCAATTATTCTGGCTTGACTGGACTGTTGATTAGTTTTACACGTGATCCTGTGGAAGAAGTTATTCCTTTCAAGGGAAACATGCTGCTATTCTAAAAAGTAATGCTGTTTTGTCCTATTTTTTTTTTTTTACCACGTTTTGGTATATGCACGGCATCTTATTCATGTTAACTTAATGCTTTGAAAACAAAGCATTCAACAAAAAAAATTGTTTCTGTTAAGTTTCATGTACATTTGTTCTGTCTGGTTGCCAGAATGAAATTCCAGTCAATTGAGATAAACACGTGCCAACTATCCATGAGTCTCCTGTAACCACTTATCATGGCAGGCCGGCAGCCTAACGCAGGGATCAAGGCATGGGACACCCTATACGGGATACATTATGCACTGACAAGAAAAGTGTATGAGTAATTGGCTTGATCATCACATATTATCGTGAGTTTCAGTTATCATCAAAGACAAATGCTATGGAGAAGACAATGAACACTACATCCAGTGTGCATAGCTTTGGCCTCATTTAGTTCCATATGTCAGATATTTACACTAAGCACGTCACTAAATGTATCATATGCACAAAATATGTGCCCAACTTCCGCAAGTGTTGCACTCTGTTGTTTACTGTATATGAAAAGGCTGTACATTCTATAATATTGAAGAATATTTTTATTAAGTCCACATCTTTCTTACAAAGTGAATGCTTACTTAGCTAGTTACTCCAATCCACCCTTCATAAAACCATCACTCATAATAAGTACCCTCTACCCAATAAATCCCCTTGACTGTAAATATGCAGTTTGTGATGCTACACAGCAGGTTTAACAAACATATACATATAATGTACACAGCTGGCTGGCATACATTTAAACACAGAGGACGGGGAAAAAAGTATTAAATATGATTCCGAATTAAGCTGGTGGTGGATCATAAACCAATATTAATGGATAATTGTAACTGCAAAAATAAACTATATCAAGCTGGTATATATAAAAAGCTTCATAATAGTAGTAAAATCGTGAAGATGACTGGACAATCATGCTACTGTTTAGGTTTGCTGAAGAACGAGAGGACAAGCAATATTTACGTTCTTTGCACAAAATCACAATGTTAGTAAACTTTATTGAAATTCATCAAGCAAGTTCCTAATGACTTGAAATTTTACTTTAAGTGCAAAAGGAATTGATTGTATAGTTGCTGTTAAAACGACTTTTGACAAATTGCATACATAAAAAAAGAAATTACACAAAAATATAAATACATGAAGTAGCATGTCCTTTTCACCTTCATTTGTTTGTCTTTTAAACCTTTCAGCACGTTTACATCACAGTTCACTTGAAGATGACAAAATCTTATGCTTTCATAAAGCAAATGCATTTGGTGATCGCAATCAGGATTTTTGCTATACAATCTCAGTTCGACTGGAACACGAGTGGTATGCAAACTGCGCACTAAAATGTATGCTATCGTACTACACTATGCCTGGGAGAAACTAGTATTAGTAGCTAAAGGCATTTCAAAGAAAAAAAAAAAAACAACTTGAAATTCTCATCTAAACCAACTGTGATAATTCTATACAAAAGACGGCTCACTTTTGTTTTGGTAACCCCTAAAAAATGTTGTTCGTAACAAACTGCCCAGTCTTCTACTTAATGTCTTTCATTCATATCACACTTTCTTCCGAACAGCAGCCCCGGAGAGCATCAGATCTCTTTCCCTCACTTCCTCCTTCAGTTTCGCTTCAGTTACTTTAAGCTGACGGATGGTGGATTTCATCTCCTTCATTTTTATCTCCAGCAAGGCGATGATGTCCCGCTGCTCGTTGAGCTTCTTCAGCAGTTCGGCTGCGGTGGTGCCGGTGTTCAGCGAGTAGGGGTGATCCAGCGCTCCGAGCGTGCAAAGGTCCACCACGGTGTACCGGGCACTCGGCGGACCGGCGGCGGAGCTCGCGGCTCCCGCGTTGTGCTGCAAATCGCGCGCCGTCGCGGCCAAACACGGACCGTCGCCCTGCACGGTCACCTCGGCGGGATCGGCGGCCTGTCCGTTCTGGCCATTTTTCACCACTTTGCCTGCGCTTGGGAGCACGTCGACACCGACTTCTGGGCTCGCAGCGCTCAGCTCCGCACCCGCGTTTGCAGAAAGGGAAACTACGCTGGTGATGACAGGGAGGGTGGCGGACACTTTACCTTTCCTGCCTCTCCTGTTCTTTCTCTCGTTGACTCCCCTTAGCGGAAAAAGCGTCGGCACCCGAACGCTATAAGTCTTCCGCCCGCCCGCGAAGTGAATGCTGCAGACCCGATGGCCCGTGGTGGGCTGGAAGGTGCTGAAGCAGCCGCTTACCCCGGCCCGGGAGATGTTCTTCAGCCAAATCTCTCTCTGTACCGTATCCTTTGGGAAGGTATAGAATCGCAGATCCCTGTCCCTGTGCGAGTTGCTGTAACAGCCCGGGACGCAGCAGGTGAAGCCCGGCATGCTTATTTCGGTATCTAGCTCGATGAGCAGAAATCCAGATAAAGTTTTCTTTTATTTCATTTTGTTTCGCTCCTCAGCGCGCCGTTATCAAGCCCAGCTGCTCCAGAGCGGAACTACACGTCCCACAATGCTAACGACTTCCTGTTTTGTTTTCCAAATCAAATAAACTGATAAATATAAAACATGAATCCGATACTCAGAGGTTTAATTTATGTTTTGAAATGCATTAACGAGATGCTCGAACTTGCGTCAATATGAAAAGAAACACGGTGATTTACCTGCAACAGACAGTTGTCTTGTGTTGGTATTGATTGAAACAGCATGCATATTTTAAAATATACTCAAATAAATGAATGCATTTTTAAACCTTCTACCTGTAAAGTTTTGAAAATGCGCACGTATTTGGTTAACAGCCGATAAGCATAATTTGGTTTCTGCATTGTCCGTTCTTTTGGATATTCTTCACTACTTCGCGCCTACATGCCTTTCAAACTACGTTTTGGATTCAGTAGCCTGCAGCGCCGAACGAACTGTGCACGAATATTTCAACATTAAAATTATTTTTTTAAAGCCACTTATATACTTATATTATTAGAATACATATTTTCATTCAATTAACAATAACACTTCTGTATTTGATCAGAAACTAGCAAAAATATATCATTACGTCAACACAAAGCGTGCGGGTTGAATGACACAAAGCAAGCGTATCAAACTACAACTCCCACAATCCAATTGATGCCACGATGTTTTTTTTTCCCCACACGCAATAGACGTGCGGAAAATTGGAGTTTTTTTTTCTCAACACATCTGGTTAAATTGATTAGATTTTCGCCTGCTAATCTCTTAATAAGCATGGAATTTCCATATTACACACAGATTTTTGGAAAACTGCATATATTCTTTATACCAGTTAATAATTAAAGGTACAGGCATGTCTAGGCATGCTCAAGCACGCTGAATGCTGCAAAGCCAGGTTTTTAACAGTTTACATGATGCATACCCTGCATTACGTTTATATATTTTTGTCTTTATATTAATGCATTGGTTATATGCGAAGTGTAATTCACCTACAGGTTTTCTGATCTCAGAAATAACTTTCCAGTGTCTCTATAATTGGGATATTTTCTGTTAAATTTGTGGTGAATATAAGCTAATGGCTCAAAGACATAACATGGCTGCATTTATTAATAAAGTCTCTGGTCTGTTTTTGGTGTGAAATTGGTCTGGTCATAATTTTGTTGTGCACTATATGGTGTCGATCTTAGAGCTTGTATTTAGAGGTGTAAAACTTTCAAGATTTGGCATGAGCAGAAGGATCCTGTAGCATCTGACTAATTTGCCTGGGTTCTCTGCTAATAATAAGAAATTAATTGAATACCTTAATCTCCCTTCACATGACAACTGGAGGCACTGGCACTGGAGACATGGTACCTGGTGGAGCAAGCTGGACATGAAAGGCGACACTGATCCAGGTTTTGCACCACTAGCATACAGTTGGCCTCATCTGATATCTCATTCTGAGTCAGGAGCTTGGGGTTATCAAAGAATCAGGCAGAATTACTGGGTTCAAGACTGCAAAGGTGGGATCGGCTGCCACCAGATATGAACATGTCTGTCCTTTATAGCTGAAAAAAAATTGACTAATTTCTTTAATGATTAAAGAAGGCATTTTCATTGGCCCACCATTCAAACAGGTCAACAATAGGCAGCTTGGAGAAAAGGAGGCCTGAGAGTCACATGGGAGGCATCCCGAGATGTTGAAAAACTGCAGAGCACCAGACTGTATCCAGTTGGCCAACAACACCCTTCAGGCATATGGATTCAAGAAATGTAACATCACAGAAGATTGATTTCCTCTATTCAGATTTGGAATTCATCCCTGTGCATGCTGGTATCTTCATTGATGAGCATTCTGCAGGAAGTCAGCATATTCACGAGGACATTGAATATCTCAAACAATAAAAACTTTGCCCATACATTTTATTGTTACATCTTCTTTAAGATAAATTATAGAACTAAGACAATGACATCCAGCTGTGGTAAAGACATCATTTTCACAATGTTGAAGGCTTGGGTGAACTTTTGGTGTCAACGAAAAAGAGCCTTAGTATTAGTCAGTTCTGTGGTAGTAGGGGTCCTACCATGCTAACATCAACCTCCACAAGACACTGAATTACCCAAGGGGGGGGTGGGGGTGGAAAGAATAGTCCAACTGATCTGGGGGCACCTGGAATGCTCTGCTGACTGGGCCTGGTTGAGATATGGGTCAGTACTTTTGGAAGGCTTTTCTGAGATTGTCAATATTAACTTTTCTGTTTTTGAAAGAAATGTGAAATTAATTAAATCACTTCATCATTAGAAATGTAAGCAGACTATGCTTTTCGAGGGCCCCCTTGTAAATAAGTCCACATCAGCTCCCTCTGAATTAAGGATCTCTGTACCTATGCATATTCTCCCAAAGCACTAACCTCGAATCAGTGTTAATGTCACAACGCTGGGTCAATGTGCCAATTGAATAGCCTCTCTTTGCTCTTTGAACTCCAGCTGCACAATTATCTCTGTGTGTCCTCCTGCTTCATCAGCACATGAAGGAAGTTTCTATGTGGTCTGTCAGAATGCTGCAAAGCAAAAACACACTCGGTCATGCTGCTGGTTACCATGAGGGATATTTTACAACGTACTCGGAACTATCTATTACCTCTGCACAGAGGGTCTGATAGGAGATCACATCCTCACTGCCGTCCATCTCAGACTGGGCAGCTTTCACCAGCTCCTTAATGCCATCCTCTCCTTTCAGTGGCAAGGCCCTCTGCAAGGATTCACTGTGTAGTGAACCAACAGCCCTCCTTATGATCTAACAGACACCCCCATTTACATTCGCAACTGCCCTGTACATTCAATCTTCCCCAATCACCCAAGAGCCAGTCTGGTAGTATATGCATCGTGCACAGACCCTAACCTGCCCCCCCCCCCAACACCTGTACTCTGACAGAAATCCTCACCTGAACTCTCGAATGGTCAGGGTTCCACTCTTGGTAGTGTCGATGTTGACAAACTCTTTCAGCAGATGAGAAAGTATGCTGCTTTGTCTGTGGTATACACTCTCGTCCACCTGTCAGTCACACACATCACTGAGATCACAGCCTACGTACTACAAGCTAATACTCACTTGTATAGTATATTTACTGAAGCAGTCCAGGGTAAGTACAGGGGCACATTAATGGTATGTGGAATTTCAACATGAATTGCATTCCAATAATAGTAGTATACAGTGTAGTGCAGTCCTGGGACAGTGTCTACTACTGTACCCTCCAAACTGCTGCATAACTGAAATCCATCCATCCACCCCATCCATCCATCCATCTTCTATACCCCTTGTCCTATACAGGGTTTCAGAGGTCCAGAGACTATCCTGGAAACAATGGATGCAAGGCAGGGAATAACCAGGATGCAGTGTCATCCCATCACAGTGCACACAGCATTCATACCTAGAGGCTATTTGGTAACTGCAATTCACCGTAGCATGTTTTTGTATTGTAGGGGGACCCCAGAGCAAACCCAATGACAACACGGAGAGAACTCTACACACGTAGAGTCAGCTTAGATATAAACCGCTGCGCTTCTCACTGCTCTCAGCCCAAATCCCCCACAATATCGACTGGTAATCATCTGCTCACTTTGCCTGTTAAGATGTCATAGAACAGAGAAACAAAGTGCTCCTCCCTGTGTCTGCAGCAGGCCTCCACCAGGCTGTGGGCCCAGCGCTCCTCCCTGTGTCTGCAGCAGGCTCTCCACCAGGCTGTGGGCCCAGCGCTCCTCCCTGTGTCTGCAGCAGGCCTCCACCAGACTGTGGGCCCAGCGCTCCTCCCTGTGTCTGCAGCAGGCCTCCACCAGGCTGTAGGGCCAGCGCTCCTCCCTGTCTCCAGCAGGCCTCCACCAGGCTGAGGGCCCAGTGCTCCTCCCTGTGTCTCCAGCAGGCCTCCACCAGGCTGTAGGCCCAGCGCTCCTCCCTGTGTCTCCAGAAGGCTTCCACCAGGCTGTAGGCCCAGTGCTCCTCCCTGTGTCTCCAGCAGGCCTCCATCAGGCTGTAGGCCCAGTGCTCCTCCCTGTGTCTCCAGCAGGCCTCCACCAGGCTGTAGGCCCAGTGCTCCTCCCTATGTCTCCAGCAGGCGTCCAGCAGGCTGTAGGCCCAGCCCTCCTCCCTGTGTCTCCAGCAGGCGTCCAGCAGGCTGTAGGCCCAGTGCTCCTCCCTGTGTCTGCAGCAGCTCCTCCCTGTGTCTGCAGCAGGCCTCCACCAGGCTGTAGGCCCAGTGCTCCTCCCTGTGTCTGCAGAAGGCCTCCACCAGGCTGTAGGCCCAGTGCTCCTCCCTGTGTCTCCAGCAGCTTGATCCTTTCCTCCCTCAGCAGAGAAAGTAGTAGTTGATACCAGCATCAAATGTTTAAAGGGTCTTATTGCCATAAGGGGTCTAAAGGCCTTAAAACAAAGCCTGGCTCTGTGTGGGTTTACTCCAGGTAGTCAAAAAAGTGCAGTGATGTGTAAAAGCACCACAAAATCTTGGTTGTTATGTTAAAGTGTTGGTTGTTATGTTTAGACTAATTTAGGAAATACAATGAATGAAAATACCTCCTCATCTGCAGTGGCTTTCCAGCTTTCCAGACCACTTGTAGGTTGTTCACTAAATCTGGTAAATCAAGCTTGAAATTCTTCAGCTACCCCTTAAACGGCAGGTGGAGAGGAACACTGTCTGCAGTACCCCGGATGGGCAGTAGAGGGAGCTCTACTTCTCAAAAACAAGCAACGCGCCACATCAACTGGAGACTCAAAGGCATGAATACTAACTGAATGGCTTGGCTCATGAATGAGCTCCCATTCAGATTGAGCATCACATGTCAGATATGACATGATTCCTGAGTAGCTGAGTCAGTGGAGTGTCTGACTCTGACAGCTTTAGTGGCCCTTCATGAATCTCCGAGTCACTTCTGTGCCTGTAGCCCAGAGGTGCTGCGAGCCTCACATTCACATTTTTTCGCTTATCTCATTCTTGGAATGGTGTGCTGGCTCCGTGGTTAGTGCAGAAGCTGTACAGTTCCAGAGCTGTGGGTGGGTTTTGCATGTTCTCTCCAAGTTAGTGTGGGGTTCCTCTGCCCGCTGCACCTCCCCTTACAGCCCAGAGATAAGGTCTCTCCGTCGACTGGTTTCTCTAGAAGACTGTGCCTGTGATGCAGTGGCATGGGATCCTGGGTCCCCCCTGCCTTGTGCCCAGTGCCTTCTGGGTTAGACTCAATGTACCAATGATTCTGTTATCCAAAGAAACTTACACATTTCACCTGGCGATCATTCATATTCAAGGGGAACAGAGCAGTGTAGGAGTTAAGGATGTGGATCCAGAGCTTTCTTGGTTTTTCTGTAGGACCTTGTTTAAAGGCAAACTACCCAAATCCAATATCCAATTGGATTAATGGTTAAAGCTGTAAGTCCCTTTGGATAAAACCCACAACGGAGTCGAGTGTCACTCCAGTGCTGCTGGTGCTTTCTGTTCATGGCTGAGAAGCAGCTTGTGGCGAGTACCAGGTCAGTGAAGAGCTCCTCCATGTCTGGGTTTGCCGTCCTCCGTCCCTGCTTCTCCAGGAGGATCCCCTTCAGCTGCTGGCTGGACTGGTTCTCCAAGAGCAGATCTAAGGAGACGGACACCTGTGAGCAGGCCACTACGCGCCCACAATGATACGGGTGTCTGGGGCTAAACCTAGACCATGCAGACTGAGCTGCCAGTGCTGGTGGATCTTGCTAACAGGGTACTTCTGTTTACCAGGTTGTGAATAGAGGGGAGTAGTGCAGACTGCAAAGTTACATCCAGGCAGTAACGTGGACCTATAGGAGGGTCAGGTTCTACAGAATCCTAAGCACTGACCCAAGGACTGGGTCCTAAATATTACCATGGAAACAAACCTGCACTCGCATCCAAAAATAAAGTTTGATAAAAGGAAACAAATACAAAATTGAGGGCCGGAGGGTGAGCCATTAGGGAAGTGCAGCATTTAAGTTCTCATATGTCCTCCCAGCAGGGCTGCCTCTCACACCTGTGCCTTCTTCCCGGTGGGGACGAGGGACGACAACATCCTGCAGCATCTTCGGCTCCCTCTGGAGGCGGCCCCGCTGCGGTGCGGCCTGGCCGTGCACCTCTAACAGCATATCGTACTCAGCCCTGAGCTGATCGAAGTCTGTCTGCAGCGTCTGCAGCTAGGAAGAGGAAAGTCAGGTCAGTGCCCTGGCTGCATCACAGCAACATGCAGGGCCACCTACCATCTAAGGATGTTACTTAGAACTTCTGGGCTGAGGTGGAGATTTCAGGTCCAGAGAGTACAAATCCAGACCAAGATTTTGTTTCATCCAACCAGTTGAGTACTCTGTGACTGTGACTCTTTATATTCAACTGGTTGGTTGAAACAAAGTCTTGGTCTGGATTTGTACTGTCTGAACCTGAAATCTCCACCTCTGCTTCTGGGGCAGCAGGTCCTGCAGCATGATTAAGGAACAAGAAATTAACAGTCATTAAACTTCAATCTCATTGGAAAACATACAGTGATACATGAGAAAAACAGGTAAGACTCCAGTTTTGGATAAAGAGATTTACATTTATTTATTAGGCAGATGCTTTTGTCCAAAGTAATATATTAATGAGAAAGCAGAGTCTGCCAGTCCCTGAACAACTGGGGTTAGGGTCTTACTCAAGAGTCCAATGGTTAAATCATGATCAAGTGATCAAACAACAATAAGAATAATAATAATAATAATAAAACGATCATTTGAACCAGTGATCGTCTGATCACGGGCACAGCATTTTAGGTTGCTGAGCGACATAACGCCCCCATTCTGTGTTATGTATAATCTCATTGCCTTGATCAACCCCAAATCATTTGGAAGTGGTGCTATCATCACTAGACTGTCCACGGTCCCCCCCTTGGCCACAGCACAGTGTTCTCACGCAGTGGTACATGGGCACAGTCACACAGAGGTACATGGGCACAGTCACACAAAGGGTCAATGGGCACAGTCACACAGAGGTACATGGGCACAGCCTCCCTACCCTCAGCTGGCTCTCCTGGTGGGCGCAGTGCAAAGCCTGCCAGTCTCTGCGTGGCACCATGTCCGCATACTGAGCTCGCAGACGCTCCATCTCCACTCGGACCCGGGTCAGATCCCGGCGGCACGCATTCAGCTCCTGCTTCATTTCAGCAGGGTCGCTCTCTGCATGGGTGGGGGGCGGGGGGCGGTGTGTATGCAGGAGCATGTTTATGAACTCACTATGATACTTGGGGCTATGCACACACTTTATTTATACTCCATTATATACTCTGCATGAGTAATAACCTAGTTTCTGACTGGGCACCTTTATCAATAGCAATCCCATTTAATTAAGCTGCTTTGCAGCCCTATATCACAACCTACTTGAGCGTCCAGGTCATCAGTCCCTACCCACTACACCATCTGCTGCACCAGATCAACTTAGGTGGCACAGAGGATCACACTACCTGTGGCAAAGCCTTTTTTCAGCCGTTACCTTAACTGTTTGACACTGATCGGATCGCTGGGTGTGTGGCCCCGCCCCCTACCCTGCTTCATTTGGACCTCCCCCGGCCTGTGGCCCGCATTGCCGGAGCCGGCAATGAGCAGCCTGCGGGCCTCGTGCTCCTGACGATAGGCCAGGTACTGATCAGCCAAATCCCTCTGCAGGACACGGACCTACGCAGATACAGAGAACGATATGATACCTGAATAAATGCGCTTTCTTCCCTGCTAAAGCTCAAAAATAAGGCTCCTTGCGATCCCTTTTCAGCCGCTGTCAGCTGCAGTTCAGGTGGGGCGTAAAACCCTTGGGATCCCCACCCAGGCTCCTGTGATCATGTGAGAACAGGCAGCATCTATCTTTTTCTGACCACAGGGTAAATACTTACAAATTACCCATTTATCTGCCCTTAACTTGATTACTTCTTTCCCCAGTGCTGGGAATGCAGCATTTAACATGCTTTGCAGAGCTGAGACATACTTATTAAATGTGCAGTTTATTTACTGTTGCTCTTGTTTGTAACTTTAAATCCTTACAAGGAGAGAGAACAGACAGGAAAACAATCATGCCTCAGAGTTACAGTACTGACTGTAAATTAAGTAGTGTAAATGTTATTTCCTTTTTGTATTCCCAGGGGCTGCCCCAGTGTATTTTCTAGGGAGGGGCGACAGTAAAATGGGCAGGGAACCCAAGGAAGGAAAATAAAGGCTGTCATCAACTTCATTCTTCTAAGTGCCCAAAATAAAAGTACCACATTTTCTTATATTACATTGTAATTAAGGTTATGATTTGTATATATTCATGCAACTCGGGCAACCGTGAGATTTATGAAAAGGCAGGCTTCAGTGTTTACTAGGGGGGTCTGATTATGATGAAAATGAATGAGAACACATTAAACTAATTAGTGCACATTTATTTGTGATGGGGGGGGGGTACAGAACATTTTAGGGGGGGGGTTAAGCCCTGGCAATGCTCCTGCCAACCAGTACAATTCTACTTTTCTCATAGAAATGCACTCTGTGTTCTAAGATCAACACTTCCTTGCACTGTCCTTGTCCCCAGAGTGTCCCCACTGCACCCCACCCTCCACTGCACCCCACCCTCCACTGCACCCCACCCTCCAGATCCCGGTCATGCAGTCTCCACTGCATGAGACCTCAGCTCCAGGACCCTCACCCAGTCAAGAGTCAGTCACTGAAACAGGCTTGAACGCATGCTTGTCTTTCTGAGTGGATTTCTGAAGCGTCATCACCAGACATATCCACAAAGAGACAAAGAGGAATGTCTCACGACTCAGGTTGCCTGCTTTAAGCAAACGCACAGAAGCATCTGGAACTAAAAATACCAGCGATGAGGCAGAGCCGCGGTGTGCCGGTGTGGGCAGACCTTCTAGCGGCTAGCAGAGCAGAGAGCTCCTGTCAGTATGCTCCGGATCTCAGCAGGGCCTATTGGCTGGGGCAGATTTGTGACTCAACCGAACGCTACTGACCACATGGACACATTAAAATGGCTCTCTGTTTGGACACCACACTAGGGTGTGAACCAGACTGCTTATGTGTAGTATGGTCCCTGTGTGTGCTGTAGGAACTGTCAGATTAAACTGGGTGTGTAAAGTATCTGTGCATGCTGTAGGAGCTGTGAGATTAAACTGGGCCAGTAAATTCCATTCGTGTGATATTGGAGCTGTCAGGTTAAACTGGGTCAGTAAATTCCCTCTGTGTGCTGTAGGAACTGTGAGATTAGTACAGTCCCTGTTTGTGCTGTAGGAGCTGTCAGGTCAGTACAGTCTCTGTGTGTCCTGTAGGAGCTGTCAGGTTAGTACAGTCTCTGTGTGCCCTGTAGGAGCTGTCAGGTTAGTAGTCTCTGTGTGTGCTGTAGGAGTTGTCAGGTTAAACCAGGTCAGTACAGTCCCTGTATATGCTGAAGGAGATATCAGGTTAAACCGGGTCAGTACAGTCCTTCTGTATACTGAAGGAGGTATCAGGTTATACTGGGTCAGTACAGGCCTTGTGTGTGCGGTAGGTGGTATCAGGTTAATCCAGGTCAGTACAGGCCCTGTGTGTGCAGACAGGTGAAATACCTGAGTCTGTAGAATGTCCTGCTGCTCCCTCATTTCATCAATGATGTTCTGCAGACATTGAGCCTCTTGCTTGAGGGAATTGACCTCCGACCTTTCCTGCTCACGCAGGGCCAGGACACGCTGCTCACACTGCTCTGACACTATGACCAGTTGTGCTTGCAGTGGCTCCAGCTCTCGGATCTGATCCTGCATATGTGCTGAGAGAATATTCTGGAACATCGGGAAACTAAATCTATATTAAGTATGAGTAGTAATATATAATTAGTAGAGAGAATCATTTTGGCTAGCTGTCGAAGCTTAATATTATTCTTCACTAAAGATATTTTGCTGCATTATAAACACTCAGGGAGATTTTAATACATGCATAAGCCATACCTAATGCAACTTCATACTCGTTTTTGATGGCAGACAGCAGTGGCTTGTAGGTTTTCAGGTCCTCGATGAAGCAGTCGAAAACGTCCCGGTACACCTGTGCCACAGACATGCCAGCAGGCACAGAATAAGCATGCAGGTGAAGCCTCACCCACCTGCAAAGACCATGGCACAGGACAGCTAGCTCTGCGCCTCTGACTCCCATGAGAGCAGAAGTTCAGGTTATAGATTTTATTCTTGTGGGGAAAAAATATATAGATTTTTTCTTTTTTTGAAAGAAAACACATTTTACAAGCCATTGTAAAGACTTCCATGTTGGTGTTTTATGTGGTTTGCGAATGGGATAAAGCAAGATAATGACATAAGGCTCCTCTCTTGTAGTTCTGCCAGAACAGTATGTGGCAACAGGCTCACATTTCAACTTTGTACCATCACCAACTCATCACAGGGCTCACTGAAACTGGATAAGAAATACTAGATGGCTGTGTGGCATCTAGGGGCTACATAAAACCCAATGCAAAACAACAAAGGAACAAACAAGAGTGAATGACAATAACTCCATCCAGTCTCACTGTACTTTATTTATTTTTATGTTATATGATGCTTGGAATTGTTTTCTAATTTTATATTTTAAAATCAATATGGCAAAGAAGTGATGTGGAGCGGTGTGGAGCGAGTTTCATTGGTCTTTGAGAGTGTACAGGCCTGGGCCTGGAGTCGATAGGTGTTACTGGACCTGCAGTCTGCACTCCTGAGCTTTGGGCTGATGGGGATTCAGGGCTTGCAGTTCCAACCTTAGGTAACGCTCTAGCATCTGCAGGAACCGTGGCTTTCCCCTCACGCCGCCAACTTCGGTAGCAAAGCTGCAGCCCAGCACAGATGTTAATCAATATGTGTATACAGCAAATCTAACAAAAGCCAACAACTTCATGATGTGGTCCATACCCGTGATTCAACCCCAGTGACAGGTTCTTTTGCCTTTGCTGAAGAATCTGTGAGGTCACATGGGCAGGCCAGGTACTGAGACAACCTGAGGTACTTACAGCCTTGAAACATGGCAAGGGAAATTATCATTTTTCTTCAAAGTCATGAACAACGCGTTAATTACAAATTAACAGTTTTTTCCCCCCACTTCAGTTCCTTTAAGGGGGAGCGGTTAGTCAGGGCACTGAAGTTTCATCTGAACACAGATCACAACAATCAAGATAAGCAGAGTACTGCATTCTTCGTAAATCATTAGACATTGTAGGCTAAAAAGTAGAGGAGATCTTCGTGCTTTATGTCATTACTCACACGTAGTTGTTTCATTAACGCAGCCCCTCGGGGCATAGTAATTGGAACCCACTTTTCACTTTCCCCATTAACTCGTGGATTGCCTGAAGAAAATCTGTGGAAAAATAGTTAATTTATTATGAATTGACTGCAACGACATATTGAACAAATTATTTCATCAGCTGAATAAAAACAAAGTTAAATGCGATACTTATTTAAGAGTGAAATGGAAAGCAACTATATCATTAGTAATGGCGCCATTTCCTCACAAATTACTATAATCTGTAACAGAATAACACGTACAGGTACTGTAACATTCAACAGTTACCCACATATACACGCAAAAAAGAAATTCGGCTGATTGCAAAAATATAACCTTCTGTCCTGCTTCTCCGACTCTTGCAATGGAGGAAACCTGGTTTCTTGTTGTACCGACATCTGGTTGTGTCCGCGTGATACTGCCTCCTAAACAGTAATGTTGATATGTTCGATTTTTTTTTTAACTCTGCGTACTTGTTTGAGAGGTTGGTGACTGAACCGCTATTAGTGTCCCGTGTTTAGGATGTTGCCATAGAGACGAAGGACCCAAACAGGACCTCTAAAAGATGTCCTCCGCGAAGGCTTGCGCATTTTTTAGATACTACACTTTTATGCTTTAGATACGAGTATTTATTATATCCACTGTATTGAACACCTCATAATGCACAGGTCATTTTTAACTAGTTAGATGGTTACTAATATACGTAAAACGTGTTATTATTATAATTTTTAAAATATATATATTTTATCGTGATTATTGATGGTAATGTGAATTTAAAATGATAATATATGAATGATATTAGCTGCTTATTTTTGAGTAATATAATAGTAGGTGAAATCTCTAATTAAACATGTAGCTATAGACCGTCATTGATTTTTATGTTGTTTACCTAACTGGCATACGAAATAAACATTTCCCCCAATATTTTCCAGTGAGTGAAGCAAAGTAGCTTTGCTGACATAAACCTAACATTTATCCGATCAATTTTTAATTTGGAGACAACAACCCAGTTTTGTTGTTGTGTCAGGTAAAACCTCACCAAGTATAACTTGGAGCAGTGCGCTCGAGTTTGACCCGTTAAATAAACTACATTGCCCCTCCCCCTCTTCCGCATGCGTGAACATCTACGAGTAGATCTAAGGTGTCTATGGGTTATGTAGTTAAATTAATACAGCGTGTCTTTAAGGTCTACTGGAGAATACGTCATATATAACTACAATACCCATAACAGCATATGGTGCTCACCACCGTAGAGAGTTAGCTATCCGGGGGATATCGTTCTGCTGCTCTAGCTCTCCAGTCTATTTCACCCTCTCCCTCTTCCTGCGGATTGACATAATACAGTAGAAAAAAGCAAAACAAAACATTATAGGCAAAAAATGGCGGAGCTCGGAGCGGGGAGCCTTCAAGTAGGGGACCCTGCATTTAATTACCAGGAGCGAGAGTTTAACGAGCGATTGAAGCGGCTCTACCCGGCCGTGAATGAGGAAGAGACCCCCTTACCCCGATCGTGGAGCCCCAAGGATAAATACAGCTACATCGGGCTCTCACAGAACAATCTGCGGGTGCATTACAAAGGTATACAGACATGACGAAATGTAACCATGACTTAGCTGCCTTAATCGGAGCAGAACTATCCTGAACGCTACCAGCCTGATATTCGGAATAACGTTATGCGACTGTACGTATGCAGTCGCCCCAGTGTAGTTTATGCTGCTTTTCCATGCCCCTGCTTTGTTTGAGAAATAAGAAAAATAGATGTCCAAACGATTGACAGTTAGCTGGTTGACGATGACATTGTTCAGGTATGCCAGATTAGACTGTCTGTTCGCAAAATAATTTAGCCATCTGTAGCTGTGCCATCCTAAGAAGTTTGAAAACGTAAATAATTAATAATTTGTACCATTTGCAAGCTGTAGATGCGATGCGTCTGACTGTATTATTATAGCTAGATGCCGTATAGGCATGACACGCATACGATTAAATATGAATGTCAAGTATGCTATAAAATTTCTCTCAGGTACGTGAGGCGCATACGTGTGTACATGTTAATATGTTTATATAATGAACCTGCTCCCTTATGCCGTCTGATCATTATCTTGTTGGCAGAAATATTTTGTAATGAGGTTTAGGTGTCGTATAGGCGATCATTTTCCTAATTACGGTGAATTTATCGCAGAACAAACAGGTTGATCATAACAGGACAGGCTGCCGTAGCTCTGACTCGCCAGGATGTTTCTTTGTGTTAGACGGATATAATCTGCATTTTTTTGCTCCTGAATTCACGAATCGAGCTTTCCCTGTGTGAAGTTGTCATGCGAGTCCTTTTGCCTTAAGATAATTCTTCGGCTTTTACGATGTAAGGATTCGCCCCCAAAACAAAGGAGTGGCTATCCGTCATAATAATTTAGGGTATCTGTAATGTTCACCATGCATCTGCTATACCGAGGAGCAAAATGGTGATACGACCTCCACTTGTCTCACAGTATTTTTCACGTGGTCGTTGTTTATCCGTTTATCTCTTTATTAATATTTTGCGTGTGGGGGATTAAAAATGGAAATGGTTTGGTGAAGACAGTGCTGGTGTTTTGTAAGCGAACTGTGTCATATGCCGATGGCATCCGTCCAGGTCACCTAAGGAGGGTCTGGGCAGGATGAACATGTGAGGTTTGATGTCACTCGGGTGAGCGCACTTGTCAAAACACCATTTTCCTTTTTCCATCTTGCTGCTGTTATGCCAGCCACCTCACCCCCCCC